CCTGACAAGAGTGCATCTTGCCACAACATGAACAGTCACAATCATCTACAAGCGCGCGTCTTAATGCAGCAATACCATTCTCTTCAACAAGAGTGCGTCTTGCCGCAACGCAACTACCACCAACAACAACAACACTATCACCACCAAAAACACTATCACCTCCAACAGTACAACTATCACCACCTATAGCACCACTATCACCATCAGTAGTACCACTACCACTGCCAAGAAAACTATCATCACCATTTACACAACTGTCACCAACAACAGTATCACTATCACCACCATCAACACAAATGTCACCACCAACATTACCACTATCACCACCATTAACACAACTGTCACCTCCAACAGTACCACTATTGCCACCATTAACACAGCTGTCACCACCAACAGTACCACTATCGCCACCATTAACACAGCTGTCATCAACAACAGTAACACTATCACCACCATTAACACAACTGTTAATACCAACTGTACCACTATCACCACCATTAACACAGCTGTCATCAACAACAGTAACACTATCACCACCATTAACACAACTGTTAACACCAACTGCACCACTATCACCACCAACAGTACCACTATCACCACCAACGGTACCACTATCACCACCATTAACACAGCTGTCACCACCAACAGTACCACTATCGCCACCATTAACACAGCTGTCACCAACAACAGTACCACTATCACCACCAATAACACAACTGTTAATACCAACTGTACCACTATCACCACCATTAACAAAGCTGTCACCACCAACAGTACCACTATCGCCACCATTAACACAGCTGTCACCAACAACAGTACCACTATCACCACCATTATCATAACTGTTAACACTATCTGTACCACTATCACCACCAACAGTACCACTATCACCACCAACGGTACCACTGTCACCACCATTAACATAACTGTCACCACCAACAGTACCACTATCACCATCATTAACACAGCAGTCACCAACAACAGTACCACTATCACCAACATTAACACAACTGTTAACACCAATTGTACCACTATCACAACCAACAGTACCACTATCACCACCAGCAGTACCACTAGCACCACCATTAACACAATTGTCACCATCAACAGTAGCACTATCACCAACATTAACACAGCTGTCACCACCAACAGTACCACTATCACCACCATTAACACAACTGTTAACACCAACTGTACCACTATCACCACCATTAACACAACTGTCACCATCAACAGTACCACTATCACCACCATTAGCACAATTTCACCACCAACAGTACCACTATCACCACCTACAGTACCACTATCACCACCAACAGTACCACTAGCACCACCATTAACACAATTGTCACCATCAACAGTACCACTATCACCACCATTAATACAACTGTCACCACCAACAGTACCACTACCACCACCATTATCACATCTGTCACCACCAACAGTACCACTATTACCACCTTTAAACACAACTGTCAATACCAACAGTACAACTATCACCACCATTAACACAACTGTCACCACCAACAGTACCACTATCTCCACCATTAACACAACTGTCACCACCAACAGTACTACTATCACCACCATTAACACAACTGTCACCACCAACAGTACCACTATCACCACCATTAACACAACTGTCACCACCAACAGTACCACTATCACCACCATTAACACAACTGTCACCACCAAGTGTACCACTATCACCACCATTAACACATCTGTCACCACCAACTGTACCACTATCACCACCATTAACACATCTGTCACCACCAACTGTACCACTGTCACCACCATTAACACTGTCACCACCATTAACACTGTCACCACCAACAGTACCACTATCACCACCACCATTTGAACACAACAACAACCAACTCCATTTACGCCCCATCACCCAACAACAAGTTCCTCATAATTATTCATGGCAGAGTGCTTCACCCGTAGAGATCATACGGAACATGGGGTGAATGAGAGGTAGTCAGGTTTTGAGGCACGGAAAGAGATGGTAGCTCAAACCTCGTATTAAAAACATTTGATTATCATCAAAACACCTTTCTTCACACACCTCTCTGTTTTTTTTTTTAACCCCTGTCGCAAAGAATGTTCTTTATAAACAGGAAGAGAACAAGCGGAACAATATTTAATTCTAACAACCTTTCGTTCTGGGTGGAACTTTAAATGGTAAATGAATAAGACATGTGCAACACCGGGGGCATCTTTATTGTGGCTCACATGTGTTTTTTCTATAACCTTTACACAGATTAAAAACAAGTAAATATTTTCCCAGTTAAAGCTTGTTTAGCAAAACTATCTCTTTTCTTTACTATTGTTGGCGGTGTGCTTTAATGATTCATTCCCCCCCCCCCCAAGAAAAAATGGTTTAATTAAAAGATTAAAATTCTTACTTTGAAGTGGCTCCCTGAGATGTTTCGAGTACTTGAGATCACCTATGAGGACTTCATAGGTGATTCCTGATCCCAGGAAGACAAACACT